CGATTTAACTAAATCATTCACTAGTTAATAAGTTGAAATAGTATTTCAGGGATGGATAAAATGTTTTTTTGGATCATAAACTTAATCGTATTCACTCTTTCTGAATAGTGAATTAATTGATTACTTGGTGATGTTTGTTCTTCAAGCATATTATAATCATCCGAATATAAACATAATTGCCAGTTTTCTAATACAAACTTCCATATCGATTCAAATAATAAATATCCAACATCTTTTGGTTGAAGGTATAGTAATAGACGGCTTACATTATTTAGAGGTGGGGGAATATATTGTGCCTAATCAACAAAGCAATAATAAAATACCAAATAAATACATTTGTAAACAACAAGAAAAACATACAATTTAATCAGTTCACCTTGTGCATCATTTCGACGAGTCGTATTGCAGTATCTAATTCTATTTGATTTGTTCTTTGGGTTTGTTCCCTTACGCGATACCAAAAAGTAATGTTCATCGCAAAAAGAGATCGAACGAGAGAGTTGAAAAGTTCACCAAACATTAAATAATCTTGAAATAATTAAAAAATAATAAAATTCCACTAAATACACATCAGATAACCCTAACAACCATATTTAGAGACAACAATGACTTACCATTTGCCAAAAAAATTAAGCAATATCCATAACTCTGGATGTTCAGAAAATGTTGATTGCAAAAATGTATCTCTGCGGTGCGTTATAGATTTTGGTAAAATTATATGCCCCGTTATATTTGTCGGAGGTTCCTTAGTCGTCAGATGTCGTAAAAGAAGGCGTATCAACGATGAAGTTTTACTGGATTCAAATGATAACAAATCTAGTAGTTTATGATATATATTAATATATATATATTAAATATTTACAATTACACAATCGAATCTACACGTCTAGTTATGTTAATTACCTGGACGCATGCAGCAAATCCTGAGTAATATTCCATTATTCCATGCATTAGATATGGAGCAGTCATGTTCCGGAGAATTACTAGCAAATTAAGGAAATTTAAGGAAATTTAAACCGTTGGAACTTAAAAGGTAAAAAAAAATAAATAAAATAAAAAATAAAGAATAAAATAAAACTGGTATTACCTTGTGTTGGAATTATTTATAAACATGAAAAAATTTTTTTGCCATGAGTTTGAACTGACTGACGTTATTGCTGAAGGTTTTTTCGCAGACCAAGGTTTAGGTTTCAATTTCTTCCATGTCGTTGTTATTGAAGATTTATTATTAGAATTTGATGAACCAAATTTAAATCTCGGTATTTTGTGTCGAATATATGATTCAGAGTTTGGTGTGACTTCTGGTTCCTTTTGCACTTT